TGGCTAAAGTGGCCCCTCAGGATAGAGTCATCATGTTGGGTGACTTTAATGCACGAGTTGGTCATGGTACTGGCACCTGGTCTGGAGTGATTGGAGGGCATGGGCCAGATCAGCTCAATAACAACGGTAGGAGGCTGCTAGATTTTTGTGCAGCCCATGGGCTTGTAATTACCAACACGCTGTTCCGGCATCGGCGCATCCACACAACATCATGGATGCATGCCGGGTCCAAGCAAGAACATCTGCTGGACTACATAGTGACGGACCAGCGGATGCGAGCCCATGTTCTTGACACCAGGACCTACCGTGGAGCTGATCTGCCCACTGACCATCGACTAGTCATCTGTAAGATGCGCCTGCCATTCTTCCACTCCGGTGGTGGGTGTACACCCAGGACCCCATTCCAACATAAAGTGGCCTGGGTCTCAGTTATCTGATGAAAGTTGCAAGCGAGAATTTCATCATCGCTTGCGGCTGGGATTGGCATCGTCCCCGACTCCTCCTGATGTCGAGGGTAAATGGGCGAGGTTTAGGACTGTGACTCATGCAGCTGCAATGGCTGCTTTGGGTACGCGGTCCAGACCTCCCCAGAGACCCTGGCTGACAGAGGAGGTGTTTAGGATGTTTGAGAAAAAGCGACAGGCCCACTGTCATCGGCTACAGAATCCCACGTCAGAGAATGAGGAGGCTTACCGCAGCCTTCGCTCGGAGGTTCGGAGAGCCATGAGGCGCTGCAAGGATGGGTGGTGGTCGCGGGTTGCTGAGGAGATGGAGTCTGCCTCAGTGGCCCATGATCACAAATCTCTATTTAACTCCATCAAAAAAGTAACCTGCAGCGCCACACCTATTACCATCATTAGGGAAAAAACGGTGATCCAATCTCCGACCCCCAGGAACAGGTTTGCAGATTTGCTGAGCATTTCTGTGAGGTCATGGGGAGGGAAAATCCCTCAGCCAGGAAAACATCATGGCACAAAGTGAGGATGACCCTGCTGAGGCTGCGGTGCCTCAAATATCGGAAGAAGTCACCCCCTGTGAATGGCTGGCTGAGGTGCCATCTGTTGAGGAAGTACTGAAGGCGATCCGGAGTCTGAGACCAGGAAAGGCAGCGGGCAGAGATGATCTCCCAAGCGAAATGCTGAGGGAGGGTGGCGTTTTGTGCACAGACTGCCCTATATGACATCATAACCACGGTCTGGGCCGCTGGACGGGTTCCGCAGGATTGGAAGGATGCCCTGGTGGTCCCCCTCTTTTAAGAAGGGGGGACCGCACAGACTGTAACAACTAAAGGGGCATATCACTCCTCAGTGTGCCGGGAAAGGTCCTGGCAAGGATTATTCAGCATCGCCTTGCCAGGCACGCTGAGGAGAGGCATGCGGAGCCCCAATTCGGTTGTCAGGAAAGGGCGGGTCCTGCACAGATGCCATATTTTCTGTTCCGTCTGCTACAGCAGAGGTGTAGGGAATTCCCACAGACCTACATCTCTGCTTTATTGACCTGGTCAAGGCCTATGATACCATCAGTAGGCCTGGGCTCTGGGTCGTTCTTCGTGCTTTTGGAGTACCTGACCCTTGCTCACGATCATTAAGGACCTTCATGATGGTGAGCGGGCCCGGGTAAAAACTACGTGGCCGGGAGTCAGAGATATTCCCTGTACACCCTTGGGGTGCGACAGGGATGTCCTCTGGCTCCCACATTATTTAACATCTATTTTGACCACGTAGTTCGTGAAGCCTTCAATAGCTGTACCGGGGGAATCTCCATATGGTACAGATATAATGGGAGGCTGATCGATGCCCGGGTGCGGTCAAGGGATGGCTCCCTATTGGTCAACCACGTTATGTATGCTGATGATTTGGTAATAGCTGCTCAGTCAGAGGAGGAGTTGGAGACGCTGCTGCTGAGACTGGAGCGTGCCACTAAGAGGTGGGGCCTTACCATCAGCCCCACCAAAACTAAGCACCTGCCTGGGTATTTTGTACCATCGGACACTCCATCCCCACAACTCCCAATCGGTGATGGGGCAGTTGTGGAGAGAGTGGAGAGTTTCCCATACCTAGGTAGTGTGCTTATGACTGGCTCCAGTTTAACAGCAGAGGTCTCACTCCGAATCAGTCGAGCGGCAATATCTTTTCATCGGTGCGTAACGCTGTGTGGAAGCTACCTGGTCTGTCGCTCCGCACTAAGCTTCAGGTCTTCTCGGCCACGGTCATTCCCTCCCTTCTCTACGCTTGCGAAACGTGGACCCCCCTAATGGAACATCTTCGCCGGTTAGAAACATTTAGGCTGGCCTGCCTACAATCCATCCTGGGTTTAACCAGACTGGATTGTGTGAGGAGCTCACAAATCCTTGAAAGATCTATGCAAGGTCCCATCGGTGAGCTCCTCCGGCAGGCAAGGCTGCGATGGCTGGGTCATGTAGCCCGCATGCCCAGCCACCGCATGCCGAAACAGCTTTTGTTCGGCCGGATTGAGGGGCAAAGCGGGCGCGGCACGGGCTAGAGAAGAGATGGAGTGATGTGGTACAGGAGGACGTGGAGCTGAATGGACTTGCCGATGACTGGTACCAGCGGTGTCAAGATCGACGGTTTAACACGTAGGCTTTCGCGACCAATATTATTCATAATAAAGGTTTTTGGGTTAGATCGCGTTTATTTATAAATGTGTCGTAACCCTCCACCACCCGACACGGCCAATCAGCAAAAAAGTGGCACGTTGACACCTCTGTGGAGGAGGCTCGTGAAGGATGCTACTGGGCAGTTGGAGGTAGTCGCCCTCCAACAACAACGGAGGGCGGAGGAGCGACGCTCACAACACCGAGCGGAGCGCCGGTGGCTAAAAGCACAGCAGGTTGGCACAGTAGGGGCACAGGTGGTGCATCCAGCCAGTCCATCTCAGTCAGTCGACCCGTGGCACCTGGGTCTGCCCCGTGACCTCCTGCCAGCGGGCGTTTCGACACTTCACGTGGCCTCAAGGTGCACATGGCCTGGCACAAGCGTCGTGGTGACGTCACCGCCACTTAGTGGCGAATGGCGGTTGTTGTTGTTGTATGTAGTGTGTATAGTGTGTGTAGTTGTTTGTAGTGCGGTGTGTGTAGTGTATGTGTAGAGTGTGTGTAGTGTGTGTGTAGTGTGTGTGGTGTGTGTAGTGTGTGTGTGGAGTCTGTGTGTAGTGTGTAGTCTGTGTGTAGATCGTATTGGGAGGCGGTAGAGTCGCGACGATTATCTGAACCGGGTCCTGGCCCTCCCCTAGGTCGACTCGGCCTCAAAATGAGCACCCAGTGCGGTGTGTAAACATCGCCACTGGGGAGACAAAGGCGGCCGAGCGTGGTGATGGCTACCCCCACCCCCTCGTGTGCCGTGCCAGCCTTTGTAGGTGCTGCTCGCTAACAGCCCTTCCCCCTACAGCCTGTTAAGGCTACACGACGCGTGGGGGGTATTTGTGTTCTTTCATCATTATTATTATGTTGCTGTTGTTATGTGCCGCGACAGCAAGAATCTGTCTTTAAAACTCTGTACTGTATACTGGGGCACTTCGCGTGTCGAGTTGCGACAAGGAAATACACGCACACATCACACGACACGTTATTTAGTTTAGTACCCCAACGCTGTGTGCAAAAATCCCAGTGGGATGCAAGTCAAACAACAACAACCACAAGACAACTTAGATTAAGGCCATCAGTCTAATTGTGTACTACAACAAACATGGCCAAACCAATAAACATTTTCGACATCACCAAAATAAAGCCATAAAAGCAATGTAACAGTGATCATAGGGACTGTGACCGAATTTTTAACAATAAACTACATAAATAACATGTAACACCAAACCCTAGAGCCATAGCTGGCTGCATGAGTCACTCCACAACAACAGGAGCATCAGTCGGAGTATCAAATTTTTCAATGCACCTTTAAGATTCACACGCTAAATCAAAATACAGATAATACTTTGCAGCGGTCATCCGGAGCGAAACATTTTATTTTATTTTAGGCCACTGAATAGCAGTGGCAGCTAGGGTTGTACAACTCCTCTAGAGCAGTTTTGAGAGAAGATCTCATAAGTAGTGATTCAAGTTGCAGTTAATTAGAAATAGCATTCGAGACCCTGGGGGCATCAATAGCAAAGGCCCTTCCTCCAGTTTTTGTACGGCAACAAGGAATGTGAAGCTGTAAATGAGCGAAGACCTGAGGTCAAATTTGTTCTTTGAAACAGAGAGGAGATCCAGCAGGTTGTCTGCGGATTTTTTTGTAAGTACATCGTGAATAAATAAGATCTGGTGCACAAGCCGTCGAACATTAAGAGATGTTAAGTTTTACCCAACGTAGAGATCACAGTGGTGAGTACACACACACATCGCACACGACACGTACACACACACATCACGCACACGACACGTACACACACACATCACACACGACACGTACACACACATCACACACACGACACGTACACACACATCACGCACACGACACGTACACACACATCACACACGACACGTACACACACACACATCACACACACGACACGTACACACACACATCACGCACACGACACGCACACAACCAGCACGCAACCACATCACACACACGGCACGTACACATACATCTCACACACACGACACGTACACACACACGACACGTACACACAGACACATCTCACACACACAACACGTACACACACACGACACGTACACTCACACACACATCACACACACGGCACGTACACACACACATCTCACACACACACACGACACGTACACTCACACATCACACACACGACACGCACACAACCAGCACGCAACCACATCACACACACACATTTCACACACACACATCACACACACGACACTCACACACACGACACGCACACACACACCACGCACACGACAGGAATCACACACACACATCACCCACACGGCACGTACACACACCACACATCACACACACTACACATCACACACACTACACGCACAAAGAGAGAGACTTCCTCCTTTACTGTACCCGAGATCATCAGCTTGACGGGCTCCGTGCACTCCTCCTCGTCCTGCCGCCTGAGTAGCATCATCAGCACTTGCCTCCTGCTGCTGCTGCCCTGTTCGCTATCAACAGCAGCAGCAGCTACTGCTGTTGCTATCAGCACGTGCCTCCTCCTCCTGCTGCTGCCCTGCTTGGCTGCTCGCTATCAACAACAACAACAGCAGCAGTAGCAGCTGCTGCTATCAGCACGTGCCGCCTCCTCCTCCCCCTGCTGCTGCTGCCCTGCTTGGCTGCTCGCTATCAACAGCAGCAGCTACTGCTGCTGCTATCAGCACTTGCCTCCTGCTGCTGCTGCTGCCCTGCTTGGCTGCTCGCTATCAACAGCAGCAGTAGCAGCTGCTGCTGCTATCAGCACGTGCCGCCTCCTCCTCCCCCTGCTGCTGCTGCCCTACTTGGCTGCTCGCTATCAACAGTAGCAGCAGCAGCTACTGCTGCTACTATCAGCACGTGCCTCTCTCGACTCGTCTGTTTCGTCTGTGTGTGTCCGACTCTGTGTGCCGGTCTTCAAAGCAAATCGCTGACAAGCACTTGTCCCAAAGCGGTCTGTTAAAGGGCTACGCGGGGGACCTTTGTCTTTGTGTGGCTGCGTCCCGGTCTTAATAGGAGCTCGCTAACAGCAACACATTGCTCCGACCAGCCTGTGAAGAGTTGGTTATTGTGTCTGTTGTCTGTGTATACGTCTGTGTGTGTGTCTGTTGTCTGTGTATACGTCTGTGTGTGTGTCTAAGTATTGTCTCTGTGTGTGAGTGGTGCCCGCAAGGTGAATGAATGCCTGGGATGCGGGAGCCACGCGAATGATGAGCTGTCACAGCGAGAGGGAGAGAGACGGGGGGAGATGAATGTGGGCGGGTGGCGAATAGTTAGATTACTTTGGCTTGGGCGCTTGTTAGCTAATACACGCAATGTTTGTAGGTCGACTCAGTCTCAAATGTGTACCCGGTGAGGCGTGCAAACATCGCCACACTGGGGAGACAAAGGCGGCCGGGTGTGGTACTGGTCACCCCACCGGCCATCGTAGGTGCTACTGGCTAACAGCACACGGGCCAACACAGTGGCGAATTATCTGAGCTGGTCCGGGGCCTCCCCTCGGTCTACTCAGCCTCAAATGAGTTCCTGATGCGGTGTGCAAGCATCGCCACTAGGGAGGACAAAGGCGGCCGGGCGTGGTGCTGGCGACCTTGTGCCGTGGCGGCCTTCAAAGATGCTCACTCGCAGCACTTGCACCTAAAGACCGCTTACGGCTACACGGGGGATCTTTATTTTCATATGTAATGTGGACAGTGTAGTGTGGCTTACAGTGCTGTGTATAGTGTTGTGTAATGTGTGGTAATATCGTCATGTGTGGCGTTACGTCGTGTGTAGGTGGTACATCTGCCAGTCATCTCAGTTAACCCGTGGCAACTGGGTCTATTCCGTGAACTGTCAGGTCAGCGACCCTTCGACACTTCTTGTAGCCTCAAAGTGCATTCCAGACAGTCCTCAACTTACAAACACCCGACTTACGAACACCCGTACTTGCGAACCACCCAACTTACGAACACTCGACTAAATACACTCGACTTACGAACACACCTTACTTGTGAACACCCAACTTACTAACACTGGACTTACGAACACCCGACTTACGAACACCAAACTTACAAACATCCGGTACTCACAAACACTCACTTTCAAACACCGGACTTACGAAAACCCGTACTTGCGAACACCCAACTTACGAACACTTCGACTTACGAACACCATGCACTTGCGAACACCCAACTTACACACTTAACGATCAGTGAGCTCTGGCAGCCGAGGCTGCCTTGGCTGGGTCACGTAACCACATGCTAGCGACCGAGTGCCCAATCAGATTTTGTTTGGCTGCATACAGATGGGTAAACTGGCGCGGTACAGGCTAGAGAAGACATGGACTGATGCGGTACAGAAAATGTGGAGCTGATTGGACTTGCCGAAGACCGGTACCGAGCGGTGGTCAAGATCGACCTCTGTGGAAGAGGCTCGTGAAGGGCGCTGCTGAGGAGTTGGAGGCAGTCGTCCCTCCAGCAACAACGCAGGGCATATGAGCAACGCTCAGAACAATGAGCATTGTGCGTGCGGATAAAATACAGCGAGTTGGCGCATTGGGGAGCACAGGTGGTGAATCTGGCACAGGTATCGTGGTGATATCACCATCATTGTGGGGTATGGGCATTGTGCCAACCCATGTGTCTCTTATATAAGTGTCTGCGGATATGTAATCACGTGCATGTGTGTCTGTATAAATGTGTCTGTGCATCTATGTCTGTACATGTGGCTGTGCGTCTACGTACTCTCTGGTTCTATTCGTTGAAGTCACGTAGGTAAAACAAATTAAAATAAATTGCTTTGCCTCCGAAACGTCGTGGTTAAATTGTTTCTTTCATTTTATTTCAATTTATTTTAATTTGTTTTACCTACGTGACTTTACCGAATAGAACCAAAGAGTATGAATCATTGCAGTCACGAACGCTTCAAATCTAGAAGAATGTGCGTCTACGTGTTGCCTTGTATAATTGTGTCTGTGTGTAAATATATTCGTGTACATCTATGTGTACAGCGTGTGTATATGCGACTGTCATAACAGCATGATCAGTGGTTCTTGCTTTTGTGACCACCCCCGCCCTAACCAACATGTTAATATTTAACGATTATGCTCATGCCTCTTATATGCTATTGGCCAAGTAAGGTTTTTGCTGTTTGCAGCAAATAGTGTTGTGTTTGCACGCCGTGGCTTTATGTTAATATTACTGCACCTGGAATGGAACATTCTACAAACAAATAGAAGATGCCCCAATGGGTTCTCCCTCATCTCCAGTTGTAGCCGATGTTTTCATGGAAAAATATAAGACAGATGCCATCCAGGCATCCCACTCTACGTCCGTCCTTGTGGAAGAGGTACGTAGATGACACGTTCGTCATCTGACCACATGGACGACCAGCTTTGAACCAATTCCTCAAACACATAAAATTCCATACACCCAGCCTTCAAATTACCATGGAAGTGGAAAAGGATGGCAAGCTACCATTCTTGGATGTTTTAATCGAAACGAGACCAGATGGCTCAATGGGACACTGTCTACAGGAAAGCACCCATACGGATTGCCTACCCTAAAACCTGACTCTCACCATCCATCAAAGAATAATTCCCTCATCAAAACTCTACACCATAGAGCTCGATGCATTTCCGACCATCATCACCTAGCCAGTGAAACTGTAACACGTACACCAAGCTCCCAAGATGAATGGATACTCAGACTACACAATCTGTAAAGCTATCACCCCAACTGTTGGGAAAGAACCATCTGAAGACCCAATCAAAACCATCACCTTGCCATACAAGCAGGGATCACCAAATATTTCCAAAATCATGAACAAACACAAGATCCAGGTTCGATTTAACACAGTACATAGAATTCGTGATATGATGCCATCTGTGAAGGATGTGGTCCCTGACATGCAACACCCCGGCGTCTACAAACTAAGCTGTGTCTGCGGCAGGAGTTACATTTGGGAAACTAAGCGACATGTCTCGGACCGTGTTCGTGAACACAAGGCAGATCTGAAACACGGTAGGCCCAATACCTCGGTCGTGGCTGATCATTGTTTTAATGCGGTGGGCTCACACGAAATTGATTTCTCTAAGACGAAGGTACTCTGCAAACTCACTGGCTATCAACAAAGATTCGTTCATGAAGCCATCCATATATACAGACACAGACACAATTTCATCCGAGAAGATGGGTACAGACTGAGCAATCCTTGGAAGGACGTTATCAACCAGTTTAAGTCATAACTAACTGTGATGTTCCCTTCCTGCCACCTTCCGATGTTAATTTTGTTTTCCCTTCCCCGTGGCTTCAGCTCTCCGATTTCACATTAACAGGTTGAATTTTTCGCGTCAACGTGGCCACCTACGGACGCCGACCTCTGTGACCTTACATTAACATGCTAATTTCTCACGTTAACATCACTAGCCCCGCCCACTTCATTTATGACCCCTCCTGATGAGGATCGCTCGTGTCATAGTTTTTTTGTTATTTTCTTTAAAACATCTACGTGACTTTACCGAAAGACCCAAATAATATATTTTTGGGGGGTTATGGGGATCATTTTGATGTTTTGAGTTTCAAGTCGAGTGTCTGAATTGCAGTGTCTTCACGTGGCCTAACTGAACCCATGTCTGGTGGCAACGAATGCAGTAACCGAACAATGCGTCGCCTGATGAAGCTAGTTGTAATTACTGGGGAAGCGTCGTACTCAGATTGTATATGTTGTGGTTTTGCTCTCCAACGCACCGGTGTGCTGTACAAGTGTAGTGATTGTAGCATCACTACTGTGTACACACGCACACGTGTGACGTCACTATGCGGGGGAGCGTCACGACCACGCGGATCTACACACACACACATGACGTCATCCCGGCTGGAGGCGGGAATGACGTCAGGGCCGGATCTGGATTCGGGAGGCCACGAGGGTGGTGTGAGGTCGTGGCACTCTCTGTGACCCGGCTGGACACGTGACTGGACCCCAGTGGGGAGCCGGGGGCCTAGGGGGCACCTCGGGGAGCACGTGGACAGCAGGGGGGCTTCGAGAGGGTTCTCGAAGGGAGGCGTGGCCGGGGCGGGGCCCGGGCACGCCGAGGCCCATATAAGAAGCCTCCTCACGAGGTTCGAGGCTGCCCGTATCAAGAACGAAGATGCATCGTGAAGACGCCAAGAAGAGTCAAGCCTCCAGTCAACGGACCTGCCAGTAGCCCACCTGGCTGGGTCACGCTAGAGTATCTGAGAAGTGTGTGTTAGCTAGAGTAAGTCGGTGGTCACCACCCTACGGACCTGCCAGTAGCCCACCTGGCTGGGTCACGCTAGAGCAGTGGTTCTTAACCTTGTTGGAGGTACCGAACCCCACCAGTTTCATATGCGCATTCACCGAACCCCTCTTTAGTGAAAAATAAAATGTGATTTTTTTCAAATTCAAGACATAGATATGTTTTTTACTGGTACACAAAATGAGCCGTGCATGAACATTACCTTGTTCAAAGAATAAAACCAACACAATGCATAAACTCACAACAAATTACATACCTGGAAATCAATGTGACTTCTGCTGTTGCCTTTGAGAGA